CGAGGAAGTCCGCACCCTCCACCGTACACGCCGTGGTCGAGGAGGTCGCGGGGATCCAGGCCTGAGGCGCAGTTCCCTGAATCTTGCGCTTCGAGGCACGAAGCGCCGTAAGATTGCCCTGCTCTTGCGCCGCTATTAGGCATCGCCGCCGCACGCCTCTGTGACTGCACTGTTCAGTCGGGAGACAGTAAGACTGGGCGTGATAAGGAGAGCACGGTGATTTATGATCACTCTGCTCGGCCGCTAGCATTTTGCACGGCCACCGCAGGTATCATTTACTATCTTAGTACAGTCAGGAGGTTGTACGACTGGGGCTGCGAAAGAAAATGAAACCATGCATCGGGAATGTCGTACTTCTCATTGTTATTACCAGAAGTTTTGCACAATGCCCGTGGTCAGTGGTGAAGCTCGGATGCGTACCCCAGTATGCCATAAAGGTAAGCACCCAGATCTTCATACGTTGGAATGTTCTTGTGGCGGTCCCGGCGACCCCCAAAACAACCGAAAAACATCTCTTGCCCACTAAAGCTTTTTGAGTGCCAGAAACCTGGTAGTGGGCAAGAGCCTTTTTGGTGCTTCTGTGCAGCTAAATGTTTCTCGAGACCCGACATGCGGCCATTACGATTAATCCGCGAAGCCGGTGGAACCACAAACTTATCACAGGGAAGACCCAATGATCTTGCCCAGAACAAGACAAACACAAACATGAGCTTTGCCCCTAGGGTCTTTCGGGATCGAGAAAGCTGATATTGAGCACGAGGGTATGTAGTTTAGTTTGCTTCGAGCCTACCCTTCGACGTTGATTGGATGCGCATTCAGGCCACCTAGATCTTTAGATCTCTAGGTGGCCTAGATGGAGCTCCTAGGCCGAATGGTCTGGGATGAGGCCTTTCACGGGGGGGGGGGTCGCCGGGGGGGGTCGCCGCATCCTCCCCGGGGGGTCCCGGAGCTCAGAAAAGCTTCAAGACGAGCCAAGAGCGCCAGAAGACACCCCCAAAAGGGTACAAGAGGGCCTCGACTCGAAGACGATCGCCCCAAGACGCCCAAGACGGCCCGAAGACGGCCCAAGAGGCCCTCAAGACGCTCCAAGAGAGCCCCAAGAGCACACCCAAGAGGGCCCCAGGCGCCAAAATCGTCAATTTTACATCGGTTTTTGAATGATTTTGGCCTTCTCGCCTTTTCGGCTTTCCGACACTCCAAGACGGCCCAAGAGGCCCCCAAGAGGCCCCCAAGAGCGCCCCCAAGAGGCCTACAAGAGGGCCCCAAGACGGCCCAAGAAGGCCCCAGGACAGCCTAAGAGGCGCCCAAGACGGCCCAATAGGGCCCCAAGACGGGCCCAAGAAACGGCCAAGAGGGGGACGAGGAACCGAGAATTCGAGACTTCCGCCCTAAGAGGCCCCCGGGAAGCCCCAAGAGGCCCCCAAAAGGCCCCAAGAGGCCCCCGAGCGGCGCCAAGACGCCCCCAAGATGCGCCGAAGACGGCCTCCGGAAGCCCCAAGAGGCCCAAAAGAGGCCCCAAGAGGCCCCACAACGGCCCCCAAGAGGCTTCAAGTTGCCTTCCAGACGCCCCCGAGAGGTCAACCACGAGATCCCAACCAACATCCATAAGGCCTCCTCCTCCTCCCCCTTCACCCTTCCTCCTCCTACTCCCTTCCGCCTCCTCCTCCTCCTCCTCCTCCTCCTCGTGCCCCCCCCCCTCGTGTTGTCTTTCGTCATATTCAGGGTCGGCGGCAACGGCCGTAAGGCCTTCGCAATCTTCGAAACAGTGCATTACCCCTGAGACATTCTCATCAACTTATAAGAAGGATGACTCGTGGCCCGACGCATAAAAGGAAGGTCAGAGACACGATAGGAACTTTGGAATGGACAATACACTGCGGCCTGCCCGCCTACTGCGGCAATTGAACCGCGTGCAGCCCCATGGAGAAAGAGATACAAAGGTTAAGGGGGGATGCGTTTTTCCTGTATGCCGGGGGTTGCGGTTACGATTGCGAATGGAATGCGACGGTGTTGGCTCCCCGGGGCTCTCTTGGAGATCCTCTTGGAGCGCTCCGGGGGCATCTTGGAATCCTCTTCGACCGTTTGAACCGCCTCGTGAGCTGTCTGAGAGCATTCGAGAACGTGTTGGGAGCGATTCGGAGGCTGTCTTCAGTTGCCGAAGGCCTCCTGGAGGAGCCCAAAGACTTAGAATGTGGCGTTGTGGTATACCAAGAAAAAACGTTCGACACGGGCCCAAGGATTCGAGGTTTCCAGAAGAAACCGCACACCGTAGGAGAGGCACTCCTGAAGGAGCCCGAGGACAGAGGATAGGGCTTTTGGCAGGAGCCCAAGGACTTAGGATGAGGTTTTCGGCAAGGACAAGTGCCCTCAGGATGAGGTTTCCCACAAGGGCCGCAGGACGTACGACAGGGCCTCCCGGAGACGCCGAAGGAATTAAGACAAGGTGCGTGAGAGGAGCCCGCAGAACTAAGATAAGGTGTTCGACAGGGGCGCGAGGACTTGGGAAATGAAGCCCAAGGACTCCTGGGAAGGCTGCGACTGGGGCCAATGGGCTCAGGATCAGGTGTTCGACAGGAGGAGCCCAAGGACAATGACAAGATGTTCGACAAGGCCCACGGACTTGGGATAATAAAGTTCCCACTAGGGGCTGCAGGACCTAAAAGAGGAGCCCAAGGACTTATGCCAAGGTGTTCGACGGAGGCCACAGAGACTTCGGGGAAGGCTTGCGACAGGGGCCGCGGGGAGCGTCGGAGAGAGGACTTCGGGACATATGTTTAAGCGAAACCCCATGACGCAGGATGTGTTCGACAGCGGCACGAGGCCTTAGGGTCAGGTGTCCGACACGGGCTGCAGAACGAAGGAGCGGGCTTCCTGGAGAGGTGCATTGACTTAGCATGAAGGATTATTTGAGAGGAGCCCTCGGACAATAATAGGAACAAGCAAACTGACAGTGGGCCAAGATCGTAGGATAAGGTGTTCGAGAGGGGCCTAAGGACATAAACAAAACTCAAAGAGAAGCTCAAGGACTTATGACGCGGTTCCAAGTGAGCGCAAATACTTAGGATGAAAAGCTTGAGAGGAGCTCCCCCGGAATTGGGATGAGGTGTAAGCCGGGGACAACGACGCGCAGAAGAGAACCTCCCTGAGAAGCCCCAGGATTGAGGATACAACGTTTGAGAAAAGGCCACCCGTGTCTCCTGGGGCTTCTTGGCGGGCTGTTCGGGAGCACGGTCTGGAATCGTAGGTACCTTTTTTTTTTTCGTGCGTCTTCCAGCAAAAGGCAAAAGCAGTCACCGCTCCTGAGACGTCCAGACGAACACGTTGGACCAGGGCACGCTGGCAGGCAAGGGGCAACCAGTAGACTGAACGAGCTCAGTTCCCTCCTCCTATCCTCCGTCCTCTGTAAGACCGTTCGGCCCCCACACTCAACAATCGTGGAACGAGCCCATGCATCTGGGTAATGAGCGCCTGCGCAGCTTGGCGCGTCTCACGCTTACGGTGGACTTAAAGCCTAGGATCCATGAGCCCAGCTCCAAGTCCTAGAGTCTGGCTGCATCCTCTTTCGCAGGCGCAATTGCCATTCAGCGGCTGCGCAAGCACTGCCCACTCAACGACTGAATTCAAGAAGGGACACGCTGTGACGCTGAACACATGCACGGGAAGCCATTGTCGCCTGCGTATGATCATCTTCACCCAATAAACCCCCTACCGCAAACCCAGCACGGTCGAGATGCTTGATGTAAACATTCAGGTACTGGATCCCCTCCCTCGTGCGCCCATGAGCCACCTTTACATCTACCTTCCCAACATGTTTCCACTTCGATGTTCCGTAGCTCACATCCAGGGCGTGAAAGTGAAGACCGCCAGACCACGTAGCCTCTACCCACACCCCTGTCATGTTCAATTCTCGGAAGTACAAGTCTGCGCACTGCATACCCATTTGCACCGCTTCAGCCTCTACATGAAGCAGGGCTCTCTCAGCGCGCTCCCCCTTTGGAATGTTGACCAGTGTGTGCTTGCCAGGCCTCCTCAGGTCGAAACGCTCGCCGTAGATGTTTCGTAGGTGTGGGTCCCCTGTGGCAGTCACGGCGCCGCTGGAGACAGCCAACGGTGGAACGGGCCCCGGGGAAGCCGTGGGGCCCGGCGTCGAGAGAGGCGTCGGACGCGGCGTCGGTGGCTGCGTTGAGATGACGGCTAGGGCCGCCGGGCCTCCGATGGCTTGCAGGGGAGCGTTGCCGGACGCGCCGGGCGCAGTGGCGGAGAGCGCGCTGCTGATAAGGGCAGCAAGCCTGGCCAGGTCTTGACCAGAAGCCTGGGAGCTCAACAGCTCTGTCGCGCTGTCCTGAACCGAATGGGCCGTCTCTTCCAGCACGACAATGCGGTAGTCGATGGTGACGTTGCCGGCCAGCGAGCGGCGCGTGGCCTCGTACTCGACGGTGGCGTCAAGACGGCTACCACTGTCAATGCTGCAGAACACCGCGACGTCTTCAGGGGCTACGGTACCGTTCATGTAACTCGCGATCGATGATTGAAGAGCCTCCCGCATGTCTGCGCTGCTGGAACAATCTGACGCAAACTTCTCGGGGTCGGGCACCGTCACAGCGAACTCGCCCTGGACCATCGGGGGGGCCGTCGGGGCGGGGGTCGGCGTGGGCGTCGGGCTGGCCGTCGGACTGGCCGTGGGGCCAGCCGCGGGGCTCGCTGCAGGGCTTGATGTGCAATTTCCGGCGTGATCGACCGCAATCTCTTCCGAGCCTCCGAACGCCTCCGTGGGGGCATTGCTGGCCGCGGCAGGCGCAGTGCTGGACAGCTCGTCGCTGATGATGGTGACGAGACTGGCCAAGCCCTGACTGGAAGCCTGGGGGCCCAAAAGCACTTCTGCGCTGTCCCGAATCGAGTCGACGAGTCCGACAGGCGCGGCGATGTCGTACTGAATGGTGACGTTGCTGGTACGGTGCTCGTCGACACGCTGCCCGAAGACGCAAAACACCGAGACGTCCTCAGGGGTGACGGTGCCATTGAAAATTGTCGCGATTGACGTTTCTAGAGCAACTCGCACGTCTGTACCGTTGGAACAATTCTCTGCAAATTCTTCGGGGTCGGGGACGGTGAGGGCAAAACCACCTTGAACCGTTGTGCAGACCGTCGGGCTTGGCGTCGGGCCAGCAGTTGGGCTGGCTGTCGGGCTGGCCGTCGGGCTGGCCGTCGGACTGGCCGACGGGCTGGCCGTCGGGCTGGCCGTAGGGCTGGCCGTAGGGCTGGCCGTGGGGCTGGCCGTCGGGCTGGCTGTCGGGCTGGCAGTTGGGCCGGCCGTGGGGCTAGCAGTCGGGCTGGCCGTCGGGCTGGCCGTCGGGCTGGCCGTCGGACTGGCTGTCGGGTAGCGCGTCGGGTTGGGCGTCGGGTAGGGCGTCGGGTAGGGCGTCGGGTAGCGCGTCGGGTAGGGCGTCGGGTAGGGCGTCGGGTAGCGCGTCGGGTAGGGCGTCGGGTAGGGCGTCGGGTAGCGCGTCGGGTTGGGCGTCGAGGGCGTCGGGTAGCGCGTCGGGAAGCGCGTCGGGTGGGGCGTGGGGCTGCGCGTCGGGAAGCGCGTCGGGTGGGGCGTGGGTCTGGGCGTCGGACTGGCTGTCGGGCTAGCAGTTGGGCTGGCCGTCGGGCTGGCCGTCGGGCTGGCAGTTGGGCTTGCCGTTGGGCTGGCTGTCGGGCTGGCAGTTGGGCTGGCCGTAGGGCTGGCCGTAGGGCTGGCCGTGGGGCTGGCCGTCGGGCTGGCTGTCGGGCTGGCAGTTGGGCCGGCCGTGGGGCTAGCAGTCGGGCTGGCCGTCGGGCTGGCCGTCGGGCTAGCCGTCGGACTGCGCGTTGGGTTGCGCGTCGGACTGGCAGTTGGGCTGGCCGTGGGGCTCGGCGTCGAACGTCTCCGTCTCGGCGTCGAACGTCTCCGTCGCGGCGCATAAGAGGGGGGGCTTGGAGCAGGAGGACTATTCCCCTGAAAGAATTGGCCAAACAGGCTTCCAAGTCCCCCAAGCGCAGGTGCTGCACCTGCAAACATCGCACCGCTAAGCGACAACAGCGCAGCCCCAACACCCCCCGCTACAATGCCTGCTAGAGCTGCTCCTATATCTTGAAGAGTATCGTCAAACGAGCTGGCTTCGACCTCGTACCCAAGGGTGACGTTGCCATCAACCAATTTGCAGAACACATTGATGGCCTGAGGGTCGACGGTGCTACCAAGTTCACCATCGAGGTAGGTCGCAATCGATGCTTGAATATCCGGGTTATTTGTACAATTTGCCACAAACTCTTCTGGGTCGAGCACCGTTGCAGAGAGCTCACCGTACACCGCTGGGGGGGCCGTCGGGGCGGGGGTCGGGCTGGCCGTCGGAATGGCCGTCGGGCTGGCCGTCGGGCTGGCAGTTGGGCTTGCCGTTGGGCTGGCTGTCGGGCTGGCAGTTGGTTTGGGCGTCGGGTAGGGCGTCGGGTAGCGCGTCGGGTTGGGCGTCGGGTAGGGCGTCGGGTAGGGCGTCGGGTAGCGCGTCGGGTAGGGCGTCGGGTAGGGCGTCGGGTAGCGCGTCGGGTTGGGCGTCGGGTAGGGCGTCGGGTAGGGCGTCGGGTAGCGCGTCGGGTTGGGCGTCGGGTAGGGCGTCGGGTAGCGCGTCGGGTTGGGCGTGGGGCTGGGCGTCGGAGTGGGCGTGGGGCTGGGCGTCGGGTTGGGCGTGGGGCTTGGCGTTGGGTTGGCCGTGGGGCTGGCCGTCGGGCTGGCCGTAGGGCTGGCCGTGGGGCTGGCCGTCGGGCTGGCCGTCGGACTGGCCGACGGGCTGGCCGTCGGGCTGGCCGTAGGGCTGGCCGTGGGGCTGGGCGTCGTGGAGATCGATGATGTCAGCAATGCAGCGACAATGTCTCCATCCCTTTCTGTGGATACCGCTAGTCGAACTTGACTTGGAAGTGATTGGAACGGTGGGCAATTTACACCGTTGACGGCAACGGTCATTGTTGCGAGGGACATGTCGATCTGCACACGGATCACATCACCAACTTGAATACCGTGATTTGAACAACCCTGCCAACTACTTTGACCCCACTTGTTGCCTAGAAGTTGGAGACCTCGACCAGATTGGCAATTGTACCCATCAACGCTGCTGTGGTAGCATCCGCTCTGTCCAAGATCGTACCCTTCGAATACGACACCGAATGCTACACTGCAGCCTGGCGATTGAGTACAGCCATGGGACGACGCGACATATGCAAACGATGCCGTGTAAGTCCCTGACTCTATCCATGGGCCAAACGCTATGGTCCTCCAGAGCCATGATGAAGCCGCACTCCTTGTCACCGTTGAGCCGTCGACGACGTACCACGTGTTGTCTGGCTGCCAAAGGGACACCGGCGAAGTAAACACCTGCAATGACGCGCCGTACTCGTAGAAATACAACAGCACACCCCTTGGGGGGCTTGCCACCGACCAAGAATGGAGCCTCACACCGTTTTTGTACACGACAATCATGTTCGCCTCCCACTGAAACCTGAACACATCATGCGTCGTGTATGTGCTGTCGGCTCTACCAGGTATGTAGACTCGCCCTGCTGGGAAAAGGCCTATATATGCTCCATTCGGGTATTTCGAATTGTCTGTCAGATCAGCGGTGAGACCAACCCGTTTGTGTGCCCATGTCTCTTCAGCCTGGATGCTTACGCTTACAATGCCGTGCGCACTCGCCGAGGCATCGTACGCCGACCCACTGGATATTTTTCGGATCGTGTTGCCCACTCGCACGGCTTGCGTGAGCGTCCATGCTGCCGACGGGTCAATGTGCACGTAGTGGAGGCAGTATCCTTCTCCACATGAATATGCCATTGTAGTACCACTGTCCCAGAGACTGCTGATTGATGCACGCGTCAGGCTGTGATACCCTCACACATATCGGGCAGATCGCGAACCTGTTTCAACTCCGTTCACTATGGTTACACCAACCATCTTGGTGTAGCCCCCATGGTAGACAGCGAAAATCCACAAAGTGAAATCGCTTCGGTGCAGGACTGCACGGACATTATTGTACTGGGACAACATAGCGCTGCTTGGACCGACTTGCCCAGTCACGGTAAGCACTCTCGTCTCAGCACCCTGATGCGGGCATTGGCTCCCTCTCGCCCACCCATAGTCGTTTCCCGTGTAGATGCTGCTCGACCCTGCGAGCGCGCAGTCGAACCTTGAGCAGCTGCCTCCACATCCACAATTTCCAACCCACCTGCAATAGTCGTTGCAGATGCCCTGCCCCTGGACGTCGTACCACCCGCGCTCACAGCTTCCTCCGTAGCCCAGGTCTACGATGTTCTGCTGGGCTGGTAGTATGTAGCGATCTTCGAGATTATTCGGATCGAAGGGGTAGATCACTGGGGAGATTAATGGAAAAGTAGAGGCGTTGGTCCGCTCGGCCCCCTTGCCGTCGGCATCGCCGCTCTTGTCGTCAGCGTTCAGCTGCAGCGAGCCCGCGTGACTGAATATGGAAAGCATGATTGCGATGTGTGTTGGCCCAACGCATCCTGGAACGAGCGGCGGCTCGCCTCAGAGCAAGAGGTCTGGCGATGTGTACGTGCGATGCCGGAGTGCACCGAGATCCGCTTGTATGCTTCAGCTCAAACGGCTTGAGCTTGAGCCAAAATGGAGGGCCCGAAAGCCTTCTCGGAGGCGTCTTGGAGGCAGGGTTGGCTCTCTTGTGCGCCTCCTAGTGGCATCTCCGCGCATATTGGAGACGTCCTGGAAGCCTTTTGGGTGCCTGTTGGCTGTTGCCGTGCTGACCTACGCTACGCGACAATATGCAATGATAAGAGACGCTGTGATACACGATGCTAGTATGCTATGCTGTGCGAAGCAATGGAATGCCTAGCTATGCGACCCCTCCCTCCCAATTACGACAGCATGGCAGCCTTGGCATAACCGCCACCCCCACCCCCGAATAAAACCAGCACGACGTCCTTATGAAACCAATCCCCTCACCATCGAAGGTAAACCCGAATCAGAACCAGGACAACGTCATTGAACCACGCCCTCCAATTGCTGTTGGTGCTCCCCTCCTCGTCCTCCTCCTGGTCGTCCTCCTCCTCCTCCTCCTCCTGCTCCTCCTCCTCCTCCTCCTCCTCCTCCCCCTTTTCCCTCTTTACCCAGTAACATGTCGCGAACGCTTCCTGCGGCACAATGCACGAACAAGATGAGGTACCCTCCTCCTCGCGTCTCTGCCTCACCCCCCCTTCTCCTCCTCCGTCGGCGTCTGTGTAATGATGTGCCGTGCGCTGCTCTGCCTCGCTATGATTGCTACGATATGCCATCCTATGCCATGCTATGCTATGCCGTGCTACGCGATGCTACACTACGCTATGCTATGCCGTGCCGTGCTGACCTACGCTACGCTACAATATGCAATGATAAGAGACGCTGTGATACACGATGCTACTATGCTATGCTGTGCGAAGCAATGGAATGCCAAGCTATGCGACCCCCCCCCTCCCAATTACGACAGCATGGCACCCTTGGCATAACCGCCACCCCACCCCCGAATAAAACCAGCACGACGTCCTTATGAAAACCAATCCCCTCACCATCGAAGGTAAACCCGAATCAGAACCAGGAAAACGTCATTGAACCACGCCCTCCAATTGCTGTTGGTGCTCCCCTCCTCGTCCTCCTCCTGGTCGTCCTCCTCCTCCTCCTCCTCCTGCTGCTCCTCCTCCTCCTCCTCCTCCCCCTTTTCCCTCTTCACCCAGTAACAAGTCGCGAACGCTTCCTGCGGCACAATGCACGAGCAAGATGAGGTACCCTCCTCCTCCCGTCTCTGCCTCACCCTCCTTCTCCTCCTCCGTCGGCGTCGCCCAGGGTGCCAGAAAACGACCCCAAATAAAACCAGCACGACGTCATTGTGAAAACCAAATCCCCCTGACATCCAGGTGCATCCCTTTACGCCAGCATACGTGTTTAGGAGTGGCCACCCCGAATAAAACCAACACGACGCCTTTTATGAAAACCAATTCTCCCGACACCAAAAAAAAACAAGAATACAACAAGAACGATCTCCTCAAGCAACCACGGGCCTATGGCTATGTGTCTCTCCTCGTTCCTTCGACCCTCCTCCCATCGTACCCGCCCGACTCCTGTACCATCACCACCCTCCTCGTCGCGCTTCGCTCCTCCTTGTCCTCCTCCTCCTCCTCCCCCTTCGCGTCCCCCCGAAATGACACAGAAGTAGACCCCCTAATTCCCCTCTACGTCTGCAAAGCTGCCCGAGAAACACCACCCACGAATAAAACCAGCACGACGTCATTAAGAAAACCAAGTCAGCTGACACGGAAATGAAACCTGAATTAAACCAGAACTGCGTCCTTCACTCCCCCCGTGTACTCCTGACCCTCCTCCTCTTCCCTCACCTTCGCCCGGGGTGCCAGAACACGACCCTGAGTAAAACCATCACAACGTCCTTAGGAAAACCAGGCCCGTCCGACATCCAAGTAAACTCCTCTACGGCAGCATAGGTGCATAGGGGCAACCAACCCGGATGAAACCAGCACGACGCCTTTATGCAAACCAATTCCCCCGACATCAAAGTGAACACCGAACACAACCAGAACGCCCTCCCTATGACCCCCACCATGGTTATTTGTCTTTTCCCGTTCCTCCGACCCTCCTCCCATCATACCCCCCGCTCTCCCGTACCATCACCACCCTCCTCATCGCGCCTCGATCCTCCTCCTCCTCCTCCACCTCCTCCTCCTCCTTCCCCTCCCACCTCGCCTCCACCCGTAACGTCAAAGCAGTAAGCCTCTGATTCCCCTCTACGTATGCATGGCTGCCCAGTAAACACCACCCACGAATAAAACCAGCACGACGTCAGTGAGAAAACTAAGTCAACCAGCAAGGAATCGAACTCTGAAGTAAACCAGAACGGCGTCCTTCACTCCCCCCCTTTCCTCATCACACTCCTCCTCCTCCTCCTCATCCTCCTACTCCTCCTCCTCCTCCTCCTCCTCCTCTTCCATCGGCTTCGCCCGGGGTGCCAGATAACGACCGCGAATAAAACCAGCACAACGTCCTTACGTCCTTATGACCCCCCAGACATCCAAGTAACTCCCTCTACGGCAACATGTTTGTACAGAGCCAACCACCCCGAATGAAACCAGCACCACGTTTTTATGCAAACCACTTCCCCCGACATCAAAGTGAACCCCAAAACTTATGGTTGTTTGTCTTTCCTCGTTCCTCCGACCCTCCTCCTTTAATACAACCCGCTCTCCTGTGCCATCACCACCCTCGTCCTCCTCCTCCTCCTCCTCCTCCTCCTCCTCCTCCTCCTCGTCGTCCTCGATCTCATCCTGCTCCATATCCTCCTCCTCCTCCTCCTCCTGTTCCATATCCTCCTCCTCTTCCTCTCCCTCCTCCTCCTCCTTCTCCTCCTCTTCCTCCGTCGGCCCGAGGACCTGTAATTTCAAGTGGTCCAAACGCGCTGTGCATGAAACTGGGGTCCCCAGAACCGTTTCTGAGGATCCGCAGTGCCCTGATTGTGCAAGTGTGACTCTGGGCTTGCGTCATGGAGCCAGATTTTGGCGATGGCTGCGGCTTGGGGCCCTCTTGGGGGAGTCCTTTGGGCGCCGACAGGGGCCGTCATAGGCGAAGTCCCGGGCCTTTTGGAGCTCCTCTTCAGCAATCTTGGGCCCCTCTGAACCACCTGGGAGGATGCCGCCTGAGGGCGATTGCCGTTGGAGCTTCCCGCAAGTTGGACACCTCTGGGGCTCTCGTGGGGACCTCTTGTAACCTTCTGGGGGCTGTCTGGGCCGTTCTTGGGCCATCCTGGCGCCGTCTTGCGCCCTTTTCCAACTTGCGTGGTCTGTCCGGAAGCGCCTCTGGGATCCTCTTGGGCTGTTTGGGGCGCCTGGGGAACAATAAAAGCGAACATGCAAAACTCGACGGGGCCCTTAATGGAACTCAATATTGTTTGTCTCCCACGGGAGACGTGGACGCCCTGTTGATGCCGTCATGGGGCCTCTTGGCTGCGACCTGGGCCGTTTTCAGGCCATCTTGAACCCCCTTGGAGCGCTATTGGGGGGGCGCTCTTGGGCCGTTTTGGAGGCGTCCGGGGCCGTCTGGAAGCAATCGCGAGTCCTCTTGGAGCGCTCTCGTGGGCGACAGAGCCCCCCAAAAGGCCGAGAACCGGCCCTGGAGCCCAGAGGGTACACGCGGTTAGCGCGGGAGGGGGCCCAACACTCCGACATAATGTGCCGATGGGACCACCCCACGGGTGATAAGGGAGATTCGGGAAAGGGGGGGTCGGTCGATTTGCGATGGCTCTGAGTTATTTGATTATTTCTTCAACTTTCTTGTGTCGCTCGCATCAGGACAATCATCAGAACAGGCAACAGGCCAACCATTGGGACAACCGCGAGAATCAAACGCGGGGACACCGCGTGGCCATTCGCGAGGACGACCACGTGGACCACCAGGAGAATCATCAGGGAAACCATCAGGGCAACAGTCAGGGCAACTGTCAGGACACCCATCAGGACAACCATTAGAACAACCATCACCACAACCACCAGGACAACCAACAGGACAACCATCAGGACTATCTTCAGGACAACCACCGGGACCACCGCAGGCCAACCATGAAGACAGCCATCAGGGCAACCACCAATCCAATCATCAAGACAAACACCAGGAAAACCTCCAGGACAACCATCGGGGCAACCAGCGGGGCAACCAGGGGGGCCACCCGCGGCCGGGGGCAAGGCCCGGCGGCCCTTTGGGCTCTTTGTGGCTTCTACAATGGCTGGGCCCCGAACAGCGCCGCCTCACCCGCGCGCGCGACTCGAACC